TTAATATTAAGTTTTTATTTTACATATATATTATATATTTTTATTACAGTCATCATCTCTCTCTTTCCAGTTATTCCTTCACCGTTCCTACTCTGGCAGGATTGTATACATTTGGGGTGTAACTGCCTCTCGTCTGCGTTATCTTCTGAAGCGTGGCATAGATTGTAAATCTTACACAGTCATGACCCTGCCTCATTTGCAGACTCGCTGCCGTAAAGCAACAGGCTGTGCTTATGTATCTGCCAAAACAATAAGTGCTTGGCACCGATTCCTTTGCCACGTTGGCATGGCACTACATGGGGCCCCAGAAAATATTACTTGTGTGCCCTTATCCTACCGGTGTTCTTTTGTAATGCTGATTAAATCTTGATTGAATTGCTATAACTGCCTATAAAGTGGAATTACCGAAAGTACTGAAATTTCTTTTACGTATTCATTGTTGGATGGTAGCAAATATATAAGGAGACAAACAAATGTAGAGATATTTCAGCTACTGGAAAAAAAAAAGAGAGCAATATTTGCAAAATTTTGCCTTTGTTTGGATATAATTTTTATTTTGACTTCTCCTAAAGGCCAACCATGAAGAGAGGTGGTTACTCAGTGTAGATTTTCTGAGACTGCCAGTTTCCTCTTGAGATATGTGTGATATTTGTAAGTAATTTCTCTGCTGATGGAGCATGTTACATCTGTCACTGCTTCACTGCCATAACGAAACAAGCAGGACCAATCACCAGGAGGAGTGGGAGTGAATGTGGGCCGGTTGCCTCGTGGTTCTGCGTTCTCTGGGTAAAAATGGAATCCCTGTGAAGCATGGGTGATATTTCTGAAATTATTTGTATCAAACAAATCCTTCAGAAATAGAAGCAAGTATCCTAGAAGTGTGAATTTTAATTTTTTTTATGGGTTCTTTATGTCGGCGTCCTTATTTGTTAGAATCCCATTAAAATAACTGCTCTAAAAATACTAAAATGTTACGAAATTTAAATCAGCGTATAAATTACTGTAAAAGATTAGCTGGAAACTGAACTTGAGCTGTGATTTTCTGCAAAACAGCTGCAGGGAGAGATGTGAGCCTTTCCTTATTACAGTTCTTTGAGGAGACCATTTAGAATTTATCTTGAATAGCTTTGCAAACTCTTTCCCAATTTCCCAGAACCTGACGTGGTGGTAAGAAGGCAGGAAGCTTTGGCAGCAGCTCGCCTCAGGATGCAAGAGGAGTTGAATGCACAAGCAGAAAGATACAAAGAAAAACAAAGACAGGTAACTCTTTAACTCATAAATTTGTCATCGAGTACTCTGCTGCTGTTACAGAAAGGTTTATTCCATGCTAGACACCAGAACAGGAGACTCGCTCTCTCTGCTGGAATGTGGGTGGTGGGGTTTTCCCCCTCCTTTACCTGGACCGCTTTTGATACGGTTTGATCCACAGAGCAGTAGGTGTCACGATGGACCTGCAGTGATGCAAGCCCGTACTTAAATGCTGTGCTGACCTGATGTCTTGATGCTCTTTGTTGATTAGAAGGATTGATACGAGTAATATTTGGCTCCTTCCTGAACTAATTAATCTCTGGGGCGCTTGCTTCTCCACAAGTAGTTGTATGCGTGCGACACTGTGGGCCTGACCCGTTTTTCTTTTTTACAGGTAAATCTGTACCCACGGAAACTTAGTTACATGCACAGTGAATGGCTGGAGGGGATTTAATGGTGTTTAGACTAAGTGTACTACTGCGTACATGTATTTTCTGTTCTTAACAGCAAATGCAAGTTCTTGGAAACGTAGCTTAGCATTGCTGTAATTTACTGAACTACAGCTTGAGATGATAAGGAACAGCATCTTGCTATGTGGGGCAGCGTAGAAAGGTGGATGTGATCAGCATAGCAATAATATTGCTCATTAATCCCAGCTCTTCTTCTATTTTTACTTTTGCAGTCACCTACATTCAGACCTCAGTTTATAGCTGATGCTGGAAGAAATACTGGCAGTTAAAAACAAATGAAAAGTCATATTGTGGAAGAAAATAGCCACTGTGTAGAAAATCGAGGTCTAGCGTGCTTGGACTCGGGGAGCTTTGCTTTCTTTGACTGGAAGGAGCAGCTACCTCGTTTCCTTTCTATTTGTTGAGAAGGCGGCAGTCTGTCTTAACCATTAATTTATTTGGTTTTGTGGATAAATTGCTTTAGAAGAGAGCTGGGAGAACTGTTGATAATGATGTAAAAATGTAGCTGGCTCTCTTGTTCATTTGAAAAACACGCTTGCTTCTGTAGCACCCTACACTGTGCATTAAAATACTATCATCTGCAACATTCTTTACTCAGTACTTCTTATAAACTCAGGATTTAAGCTTGCCACTTGGTTCTGTGGTAAGCACTTTTACTTTCGAAGTGTTTTAAAGCATCAAGTGGTTAAAAGAAGCTGCAGACACAGTCTGTGTATATTGAGGAGGGGTGGTTGTTCTGTGGTTGGGAAGACGTGGGTGTTTAAAAAAGTAAATGCTTCCATAAGCTTGGATATACTGCATCAGATAAAGATAGATCCCTTGGGTTTTGATGAGTCTGTTGCAGCTGTTTCTGTAGCACTGGCGATCCTGTTAGTTCTGAAATCTTAGTCTTGCATATCCTGGATTTGTTCCTTAGCTTGAAGAAGAGAAGCGAAGGCAGAAGATAGCAATGTGGGAAAGTATGCAAGAAGGAAAAAGCTATAAAGGAAACCTGAAACTGAACCAGGTAACAACTGTGTTGTTAATCAGGTTACAGTTACGTTTATGTGATTATATTAGCTGAAATTCACGTTGATTAAATTCTGAGTAACTTTTGTTTTTGTGAACAGCAAGAAGTAGAATCTGGTGCCTCCACCTCATCAGCAGTCCCGAAATCTAAACCAAACAAAAAGCCCTTGCGAGGCGGTGGTAAGTGTGAAATCCTTAAGATATTCTGAGCTTGAAACAGAGCATTTATCCAGCTGCTTACATAGTCATTGTACATATTTTTTTCTCTCCTTCAAAGAGGAAACAAAACGCACCTTACAAATGAGCTCTATATCTCTAATCAGCCTGGTCTGCTTTGCACTTTGTGCAAAACCTAGCAGGATGTTTCTGTGGTGCTTTTTCCCAGAGAAGCAGTGTTTCAGTTTTCTTGTAAATGCTTCTGCCATAATTTACTGAGATTTTTGTGACTCAAAATGATAACTTCTTATAATATTTCTGGGATCCCTCCCCCATTATTGTAGAAGTCCAATATTTTAATATCTGCTCTGTCTTTGAATCAGCTGTAGTACTAAGCAAATGCAGGAGGAGGATATTTTACTCTGTATTATGTGGATTCAGGAAGATGAAAGACGTCATTAAGCAAAATGTGACCTTATTTATCAGATATCACAATGGCCCGTTGACTATATCAATCATGCAGATGTACCAACTCTTATCAACTCTTGCAAACTGCCAGAGGGTCTTACCATTAAAATCACTGTCAGCCGCTGAAATCGTCTTGATGGATGAACGGCTTTCCGTGGCCTTACATGGCCCGTGTTAGGATCGCTGCCGTATATCGGCCATGCAGCTAGGCTCCTTTCTCTCCTCTTGGCCAAACAGCCTGTGCCATACCTGCAAGTGCTAATTTGGGTATAATATTTTAATTACAATTTTCCATAGTGGAGGGGACCATCTAGACAGCCTCAATCGTATCAGACTAAAAGGGAAACCCACTTAGGGTGCAGCACTGAGTCAGTCACTTGATTAAATGTATGAAACCTGAAGATTCTTGATTAAATATACTAAACCTCAATAATAGTTCAGGGCTGAAAGTTCTGCTTTGAACATTTTTACTAACAGCTTTTGACAACATGTGAAGGAACTGACTGATTAATTCATCTTATGTTGTTTAATATGAGTGCGGTCTAATGTCTGATACTGTCAAATATCTTTTATAGCTCTTGCACAGAATATTCGCCGCGATGGGGGATGAGAAACGCGTGGGTAATAGCTAGGCTAAGAACCAGGATCCGGGCAGCTGGGCTGAGGCACCCTCCCAGCTGCTACCTGTCGTAGTTTCACCCTAAGCAAAATCTTTGCTTAAGTAACAGATGATAGAATTAGAGGTCTCTGATCTTCTCATGAGGTAGATCAGCATGAAGTGAAAGAGCCATCTGCACCGTTCAGCTGCTAAATTAAGTTAGAAGGCAGAATTTGGCTAGTATGAGAAGAACAAACTTCAAAGGTGGAGGTGATGCTTGAAGTTTGAGTGGAACAGGTTGCTTTGAAACCTGCTTGCTTAGCCAGGCTGCTAGGTTTTCGGTTTGCTCTTTTTTTGCCTTGTACAGAACAAATTGAGGACATTTGCCAAGTTCTATCTTTCCAAGTACATACTTGTAAAATGAAGTTGCCTATAGTTACGGCACTAGGAGGTTCAACTAAAATATCTGTTTGCCTTACTGCAGATACTTGCCTTTTCAAATTCTTTTAAAAAAAATCTTACAGTAGTAATGAACGGATCCCCCTTTTGACCTTCAGAGTATTCCTTACAGGCCTGGAAAAAAAGATTATTAAGTCCCTAACTATTAGGGCTCTCGGAGAACAGGTACGCTCTTACAGAGTTTACCCTAAGAGTTACTGTTACTGCTCTGTTCACTCTGTAGAGCAGCACTAAAGCTTTAGTGCAGACTTAGAGAAGTTAAATGGTAATTAATTTCAATTTAATTTAATCCACATTGATCAAATTAAAACACGAGTGTTTTGCCATGGCTTTTGCTGTTAGCACTACAAAAATAAACCATCTCAAATATCGCTGGATATTTTCTTTGCTTTCATTTTCCTTAAAATGCTGCCTATGTAGGAAGTATAAACAAGGTGCAAATATCGGTGAGATTTATTTTTTTGTGTTCCTTGTGTGTTGGTGAAGGCCTGTTGAGGACAGATATTAATACGGTGGATTTCTCTTGTGTGCTTCTAGGCTATAACCCCCTGTCTGGAGAAGGAGGCGGAACTTGTTCCTGGAGACCAGGCCGGAGAGGCCCGTCAGCAGGCGGATGAGGGTAACCTCCCTCGTGTCTCACGTCACTAGCAGGCTTGATCTCACCCACTGTCTAACTGCCTACAGATTGCGTGTCACAGTGACTCCTTTGGGATTGGGTTTAGCGCAGGTGTTAATTGAAAACAGATTTACACCATTTCCAAATAGGAACGCAGAAGCTGATGCTACACAAGAAAAAGACCTGATCCTCTTAGAGAGGATGAAGGAAGAAATAATTTGGGCGTAATTGGTTAATTTTCACTCTTCTGTAGAGAGGAGGTGTAGTCTCCAGCCAAGGTGAATCACCTGGGATTGTGAGATCTGGGTTCTGTGGCCGGCTCTTCAAAAGACTGGTCTCGGGCAAATGTAATAATCTACGCTCTCGATTTACCTCTGTGAAATGAGGATATTTACCATCCTCAGATAGGTGTTGCCAGATTTACTGTGTTTGGCTGGAAGGTACTTTAGAGGGGAGGAATATCGTCATCGGCAGATGGCCTTGAATTGGATGAGGAGGGACTTTCAGAAAAAAACAGATGAACTGACAAACACCAGGCATTTGCACCACAGGCCGGTTCCTGCAGAAGAGTCTCTGTGACAAGCTACCTTGAATGATGTTTTCCTTATAAATGGTAAACAAACCAGTGAGGATTACTGATGCTAGACAGCAGATAGGGGCGGTTCTTGCTGTTCCTTTTTTGTTTTTTAATTTCAACTGCTTTGTAAAAACAAAATACTATTAATATTAAATATAATTGCAAACAAATCATAAATCTAGTATTTACAATCTTGTGGTTTTCTACAGCATCTTTTTATATAGAAGGCATATGTTCTAGTGCAATAAATGTCTATAAAGCAAGATGAGAGATCAAATGAAATTACTTTCATTTGACTACTTCCATAAACAAAAGGGTTGTTTCAGCTGTTCTTTTCGGCTTTTAACAGTTGTGTTTTATTTGGGTGTTCTGTGTTCCAAATCATCACTTCAGGAGAATCACCTTCAGGTTAGGACCAAATCAAGTTGTTTTTTTTTCCCCAAGTTTAAAAAGTGAAACGCCTCGTTCTCTTCCCACCCCAAGAGCAATTTGGAAATTGGATGAGCTGTGTTACTGGTTGTTACGCACTCCAGCTGTATTTCAACCCAAATCACAAAAACGTCTAACAGAGGCCTTTGCTCTAGTAGAGCAGAGCGGGTTTCTTTCCAAATTACTGTCGACAAATATGGCTGGAGGAGGGGATACATGGGCATGGTCAACTCAAACACTGCAAGATATTCAAGGGGAAAAGAGAAGCCGCAAACTGCGCTGAGATCTGTGTGTAGTGCGCAGCAGGACTGTGCATAGCTGTAGTGGTGCAGCACCAGGGTTACACCTCGGGGACGTTAAGGACTTCCTCGGTACTACCCCCTGTTCTGAACGTGTCTCGGGGTGGGAACTGAGAGCCTGGCTGCAGGGCTGTCCTGAGTAGCCCAGCTAGGTGCTGAGGTGTGTTCTTACCCTGCTGCCAGCTTGTGCCGTACAAAAGCTGAGGGTTGGTTGTGCTGAAAAGAGCCTCCGGCTAGCAAACGTGTAAAACGTGCAAGTGAGGGACTGGTAGGAGTAAGTATCTGAAGCGTGTGCGGTCTTCATCCTTCTGGAGTATATCCAGCACTGTGGATAGAAAATAAAAGTTAGAGCTGGTCATCGTAAATGAAGCTTTCCAAACATCCCATCCACTTGATATGCTCTCTAGCACAAAATGCAGAAGACTAGTAAAACCCAGTCTGTCCTTGATAGAGAGTGAGAGAGTTCCTGTCAGTAAGTGCCCTGTGTTACTGAGCTTGTATATAGGCATGAAAGTATCTATCGGTGTTCCATTAGCGTAGCTTAGGGCTGCTTGAACGCTTCTTTATAAATACTTACACGCTCGGAATGTTTGTGTTCATCGGTAGGTATGAGTGCCAGCTTTGAATACACTGTTTATCTGTATATAGGTACTGCTCTATATGTCAGGTGATCTGTGATTTTCTCTTGACTATAAATGCAGTAGCAGCATGTTACTGGTAAGTTTTAAAGTTGCCAGCTAACAAAATGTAAAGGCAAAGAACCTTCTACTTTAGACCCACGAAGTGCATGTCGAAGATGTAGGGAGAAGGCTGTTGATGTTCTATGGAGACTAGTTTTCGTTTCCTGGCTTCTGTGCGTTTTGGTGTGTAAACTTACATTTCCATTGTTGTAACGCAGACCGGTGTGACTTCAGGTTTTAATCTCTAATAATGCAAAAAAAAAAAAAGAGTTGGGGAAGGATATTTTCAAGACCTGAGATTCTTCATCAGTGAAGAGGACTGAGTTGTTCCGTTACTCACGCCTCTGGGGAACATTTTCCCCTTGTGTTGGGAGGTGTTGTCTTCAGAAAAACAGCGGGGGGAGTTGTTGTCTTAAAGAAGCTGAATTCCTTGTGTTGATAAAATGGTAAGGACAGGTTGGTTTAATTCCGTAAAAACATTTTAAGAAATAAATAAGCAGGTCTGAGCTGAGCATATGCTAATCTTTCTCCGTGTCTCGAGACTTGCTTCTGGCTGGGGTTTTTGGATTTGTGCCCTATTCTAAGATTTATTAAGACATATCCACCGAGAATGAAGTGATGTACATATTTCTGGAAACTTCAACCTTCTCTCTCCCTTAATTTTTTATTTTAATCCTCAAGTCCCTAAGTTTTTCTTGATCATACACTTCTAAGCTATTGAACAGGGCGGGAGGAAGAACCTGTTTGTAACACTTTTTGGCTCACAACCTGCACAAGCAGAGGGAAGGGTTTTTTTTCCCCTGACTTCAAATAGAAAGCTCTGCCTTGACCACAAACAAGTATGGAAAGGTGGTTGCTTGTTGCTTTACAGCGTATGAGTGAAGCATGCAGAAGGCATTAGGTGAAAGGGAACTATTTTAATGAATCCATTGGTCTTTCTTTGGTATGAATTCCCAAGAACTTGAATTATGAAAGATCATATTAAAAAGCCTTCAGGAGATTTTTTTTTTTTTTTTTTCTCCCCACTTACAGCAGTTATGCAAGAAGCCTCTTACTCCACTGATGCAGATGTTCTGGAAATATCTTTATCTGGAAGAGACTAGCTAACAAACTGCATACAATGCTATTAAACTGCTCTATAATGTTATTTAGCCACTGAAGAGTTGATCTATTTTGGGTATTGAAAAATCCTGAGACAAGCAAGTTTTCAGAGGCACAAAAATAATCCTGAAAATGTTAGTTGCTCAAGAAATGCAGCTAAGTATTTTTCATTGCCTTTCAGATGATTTATACATTGGAGGAACAAAGTTTTTTGTTTTCTTTAAATTGCAGATGAGGTCTAGTTTATGCATAGTTCTCTTCAGTATTCATCAGGAGATACTGAGCACTGGAATTAAAGCTGAACAAAAAAACATGTTGTCACTCTCATAAAATTTATTTGGCTTTATTTATGCCTTTCAAAAACATTGTGAAATGAGGGAAAGCCTTTAAAAGTGATATTGCATTGCATACTTAGTTGTTTTTAAAAAGTATGTTTCTTATACTGGAAATTTTTAAAGATGAACAACAGAAGGTGGACTTGGGGGAGCGAGGGCAAACAGGGAATCTGTCGGCAGAGCTGTTCCCAGGTGCTCCAGAATTACCCACCTGCGATTCAAAGACCAATGTGAATGAACTCTTCTTGGGGAAGAGTGGCTGGGAAGCTGCCTGGCCGAAAGGGACCTGGGGGCGTTGGTCGACAGCCGGCTGAACGTGAGCCAGCAGTGTGCCCAGGTGGCCAAGAAGGCCAACAGCATCCTGGCTTGTGTTAGGAATAGTGTGGCCAGCAGGAGCAGGGAGGTGATTGCTCCCCTGTACTCGGCGCTGGTGAGGCCGCACCTGGAATACTGTGTCCAGGTTTGGGCCCCTCACTACAGGAAGGACATTGGGGTGCTGGAGCGTGTCCAGAGAAGGGCAGCGGAGCTGGGGAAGGGTCTGGAGCACAGGGCTGATGGGGAGCGGCTGAGGGAGCTGGGGGTGTTCAGCCTGGAGAAGAGGAGGCTGAGGGGAGACCTGATCGCTCTCTACAACTACCTGAAAGGAGGGTGTAATGAGGTGGGTGTTGGGCTCTTCTCCCAAGTAGTTAGCGATAGGACAAGAGGAAATGGGCTCAAGCTGCGCCAGGGGAGGTTTAGGTTGGATATTAGGAAAAATTTCTTTACGGAAAGGGTGGTCAAGCATTGGAACAGGCTGCCCAGAGAGGTGGTGGAGTCACCATCCCTGGAAGTGATCAAAAAACGGGTAGACACAGCACTTCGGGGCATGGTTTAGTCTAGTCTACCCTTGATTGGCTTAGAGTAGACTTGGTAGTGTAGGTTAATGGTTGGACTGGATGATCTTGAAGGTCTTTTCCAACCTAAACTATTCTATGAACATGATAATTGCACCCATTCTGCAAGGATCTGATTTCCTAGCAGAGACTTGAGTGCAGGTGTGAAGCATTGATACTAACAAATCCAGTCTACTCTGTTTGATACAGTTCCGTACTATTTTGTGTCAAGGAACTGGGCTGTTCTGCTGTTGCTCTGCGCCCAGTCTGTTTTCATCCTTAGGCTGTGCTGACAGTCAGCTCAGGTGTTGGGACTGGGTTGGTTTTTCTTGGGTTTTGTGTCTTTTTTTTTTCCCCCCTCCCTAGGAAGATGACCAAAGACAGCATTTGCATTCAGAGAGCTCTCCGAACGAGGATGGCATCCAGCATGACGGTCTCCCATACGTTTTACCGGCAGCGCTACACTTTGTGGCCACGTTTAAACCATCCTAATGCTGTCCTTTATGCCTCCTGCGCTCACCGAGGCAGTTCCCATCTCTGGCAGCTGTGTTTTTTCAAGCCTGGCTGCGCACATCTCTACATCAGATCAGATCCACCCTTTGGAAGGTTTTTGCCCTTGTACAGGCTAAAAAGTGGCACCTTTCAGGGATCGGGTAAGCCAAGAGCGGGGCACAGCGTGTTTCTGTCCATGCTCTAGCTGAACACTGA